GCAGAAAATTAACTAAAATCATTAAATTATTTTGTCCATGAATTTTCGTCCTTATATCAATTTTCTTCTAAAAATACAAAAGTTCACTACCGTTTCAATATAAAAAATGTACCAGCTATTGTATTTCAATAGATATCGTACAAATTCATCATACCATCTTCTTATCATTTTCGTCTTCGAATGTAACAAAGGAACAACTAATATCTGTTTATCAATATTCATCAAAACGAAACTCTCTCAAATTTGACGATTTACAAATGTTCTACACTGATACCAATAGCTTTATACTCAAGTTATATATATATCTGTACATGAAATAGTTCATCATATTCTCTTATTTTACGTTTAGTTGTATAATGTTGCTCACGTAGATCAATGTAGCCATCAACTCGTACGTTTTCATCATTACAAAATATATTTGATCACAAGTTTTTTTTTCGCCAAAACATTGTTAGACTACGTTTATCGATCGATAGTGTGAAATAGATGTTTTTTGTTTAACATGACACATGAAAAGTTAATTAAATGTGAAAAAGAATCAAGAACGAATTATGTCATACACTTCGTGTCTATTAATCAAATAGTATTGGTTAAACTTTTTAAAATCTTCAAGCTGATATTGGTTCATTTGTAAGATTTTCAATTAATTTAACATAAATTTCAATACCACGAAGAAAAATATCTTTATGTAAATATTCATTATGATCATGTAAAAGAACAGGAGTATTGATCATAGGTGAAAAACCAATTGCTGGATAACCAAAATTACGTAAAAATGCAGCATCAGTTCCAGCAGGTAATATAGTCCAATTTAATTTACATTTCATTTCTTCACATGTTTTTTTAAAGCCATTAAGCCACCATGATGGTTTCTCAATATCAGTCAGAATAAGCGGACCTGAATCTTCTGCATATTTAAGTATTATTTCATCATTATGTTGTTTTGGTGTTCGTTGAATAAGATCATTTAAAAATTTTTTAAATGAATCATATTTATTTGGTTCAATACGACAATCGAAAGATAATGTATATTGATCAGGTACAACATTTATTTGAACACCACCATTGATTTTTGTTAAATTAATTGTTGTTATATCACCTAATTGAAGTGGTTTATCTGTTGTTTGACTTTGTTCTAAACGTTCTTTCGATTCAGTACGATATTTTAACATTTCATTAAGAATAAATTGTGCTTTTTCCGCAGCTGTATTTTCAATTAGACGTGATCCATGACCAGTATTACCTTTAACGGTTATTTCAACCCAAACACAACAACGATCACCATAATATACTTGAAAAATACCTGTTTCACTAGCAAGACCTTCGTCAAGAACAAAACCAACATTTAAATCTTTAAATTCATTTAATGTTCTTAATTTCATCATTCCTCTTTCGCCACCTATTTCTTCATCAGGAACAAATAAACAATGAATAGTTCGTTTTGGTTCATAATCAGCTGTTTTCAGACGTCGAATAGCTTCCAAATATTGAATTCCAACGCATTTCATATCTTGTGTACCTCGTCAATAAATTTTTTCATCACGAATTTCACCTGAAAATGGTGGAACTATCCAATTTTCTTCGAAAACTGGTACAACATCAATATGTGAATTTAGTAATAATGATTTATCAGTTGATGATGATGACCAAGTTAATACAGCTGCTTGTCGACCTTCATCAATATTAATTAGTCGATATTCTAAACCAAGTTCTTGTGAATAATTTTTCAAAAATTTCAAAGCACTATCATAATCTGGTTCAGGTTGTACTGTTTTTATTTGTATATATTCAACAAAACGTTGAATAGCTAACTCATTTTGATTATTATTATTATCATTCATTCTTTTTGATGAATAAATGACTTACCTTGGTAACATGTGATAAACGACTTTCGTCGGCAATCTGTAGGTCACAACATCTGTTCTGTCTTTACAGATAGCGTAAAAAAAAGAGCCTGCAAATACAAAATGTCTAACGAAAAGACGGATGTCGTGCTCTACACATCGTCAAGGATAGTTGCTAATTACAATTCATCAAGAGGTAAATGATCCAATCTAATCAAATACGTGCTGTAATGACGAAAATGTGCAGGATGATGACCTTATCGATCTGCCAGAAGAACATTTTATAACAGATAAAGAGTTAATTGAAAGTAACAAAACTTATCTGGAAAGTGATCATGACATTGTTGGCAGCGCTCCTTTTGTTATGTAGTAAACAATAACATTGCAATAATATCGATGTTTTGTTTTTTCTTTTTGTAATAGTATGAGGCACACGAAATTAGATCAGTGACTCTTCTGATTTCATGAAGTTTAATGTAAAATGTAGTTGTCATCTATAATGTATTTGATGTTGCTGATTAAAATGAAATATTTCAATTTTTTTATAATTCGTAGAAAAACTAGCATATAGAAATAGAAGATATGATCATTTATATTCTATATTTTAACATTGCTGTTTACTCTGTTTGATTGGAATGCATGTTTATAACAAACGTTAACATGTTTGGAAGAATTGATTTAGGACAAATATATATAGTGAGTAGAGATCTGCGTGATCAATTCGTCGTGACCAAACAAAACAAACATTGTTCGATCATAGTTTTTATGGCGAATGTGAAAAAATAATTCTACTTGACGTTTTGTGTTCAGAATTTTAAGCTCTTCAAACTGAAACTAAAAAATTGAGAATATAATGATCTGTGATGAAGAAAACTGGAACACATTTCTCGTGACCAAAAAACTTCGTGACTGGCCGTGATCGAAATTGGTCACGACAAATATGCCGTAGTTTTCTCCATCACATATCATTATATCCTCGATTTTTTAGTATCAATTTGAAGAGCGTAAAATTCTGAACACAGAACATCAAGTAGAATTATTTTCTTCAATCCGTCATGAAAATTATGATCGAACAATCTTTGTTGTTTTTGGTCACGCAGATCTCTAATAGTGAACTATGAATTCTATTGGACTTTAGCGATGAACGATTGTTCGTATTATTCGATAATGACGTTTGAATGAATATTATTTTATTTGTAAAAGTATATTTCGTTAAAATTTGAGCGATAATATATTTAAGAGACAATTATTAAACTTTATCATACTGAATATAGATGTAAGTTTAAAGAAACAAGTGAAAATATACTTTTCAGTTAGTTTGTTTCTTTGTCTATCAATAAAAAGTGTCTATTTTCTCGATCAAGAAAAAAAAATAATAATAATTGAATAATGTTATAATATTCTACTTTGCCTGAATAAAAAAAAACATATGCAAATTATGACAATCTTTGTTGTGTGGTATCTACAATTCTTGAAAACAAACGAACATTCAAACAATTGCTTGTACTACTAAAAAGATGTTTTATTTGATTGTTTTTCGTTATTGTAGAACTCTCTTTCGATCATAGATTAAGAACGATTGCCTGTAATTTATTCGTAATTTTTTTTTTAATTTTCTATTTGTTTTATTCCTATGGCAATATACAAAGAGATTTATATACTTATCATGTCACATGTTAAAAAAAAACAATATCTATTGTTGTTAAAGTCATTACTTGATAGTAATGTTTGACTTTGACTTTCATTCGTTTTCAAGTGTCTTTTCTAAAATAGTTTTCATCGTCGTCTTTTTTTTTCTTCTATAGGTTTATTCCGTTGAAACGAAAAGTGACAGCAATATGCCAACAATAAAACGAAAGGGACCGTTTTTCTCTAGAATTTAGTAAAGAAACGAATAGAAATTATAATAGATCTCAGTAAAATTATTCGATATATATACGGTATATATATCTTACATTTTAATTGCATTTAATAGAATTTCGATTGACTTATATTTTTTTGTGCAATAGATGTCAAAAAGTGTGGGTGTGGGTGTAGATGTGGGTATGGGTGGTGTGGGTGTGGGTGCGGGGTGTGGCTGTTGGTGACTATCTTGAAAGTGGGGTGTGGAAGTTAGTACCAGTCTTAGCAACACCAACACCCACAACCACACCACCCACACCCACACGTACACTCCACACACCCACCCACACACACACTCCCACACCCACTCACACCCACACCCACACTCCCATACCCACACGTACACTCCACACACTCACCCACTCCCACACCCCACACCCACCCACCCTTTTTATATTGAAATTTTATAGAGTACATCTTCTGTATAAATTCAAATAGCTGTATTTCGGTGAAAAACAGAAACCTTTATCTCCCTATGAACAATTCAATCTGCTCTACAATCTGAGAAGATCAAAACAATATTTGATGAATTATTTGGTATTTTGGAAAACCACCTTATCAAGACCTATGGGTATTTGGAATCAGCGTGATCGATTACTTCTAAATCTACTATTTACGTAGAAAAAGTGATTGGATAGTTCACAACGTTCTTTCGTTAGTTCAAGATTACTATGAGGATATTTAGAAAAAAAATGGCAAATATATATGAGAAAATTTGGATCATGTTGATATTTCATTGCTGATTCTAATTGTGTCCAATCAAAATATAATAATAAAGAAGTTGAATGTTCGATACTATTAAGCAATTTGCATAGAAGTTCACGTAATAGAAATGTTTGTTTAGTATCAAAAATCAGCAAAAGAATATTTTTTTATACGTTGAAGATGATCTTCTAGTTTGATTAAATTTAAACGTGATGATAATAAACGAAATTGACGAATTGATGGTGAATTTTGTAATAAATAATCAAAAATTTGACTAACTATTAATATTGAATTAAAATGAGAACTAGACTAAGTTCTTCTATTTCGTTTTCTCGTTTATTTGATTTCTTTTTCATAAGTTGAAATATTTGACATGGGAATCGAGATATGATATGATAATTCATCACGATTAAGAAATGAGCCTAGAAGATTAATATTATCTAAGGAAATAGTAAATGTTCTTTTTTTTTAATTTCCAATATGAATTTAAATTAGTATACTGAAAAATATTATTTAATAAAGCCAAAGTTATACGTGGCTGACAAGTTTGAACAAATACTTCTTCATTTTTACTATGATACGTAAGGTGATAGAAAAAAAATTTAATGACAACATATTTTTGGCTTTTTGTTTTCTTACAATGTTAAGCAATCGACGCAAATCTGGAGGATAATTGTAAAGAACAATGAAGTTGCCTTTTACTCAGACTTCATAAATGAACTGAGATCATAAGGATTCCAAAGCAGTCAGCGGGTGTGAGTGTGGGTGTGTGAAAATAAATGGATGTGGATATGTTCTTCCAACACACACCCACACCCCACACACCCACATCCAGTGGAAGTAGTATAACAAGAGGCAGTTCAAATGTACCACTTTATCTCACTCTTGCAAATCAATTATTGAAAGTTGGTAATTGCAACTCGGGAAATATTATCAATGCATCGTATGCAGGAGCAATTGATGAACTACGTGTGTACAATCGTAAGATTAATATATCCGTAGCACGTATATTGTCTTCGTAAATTATATTATCAGTTTTTGGTGAAATATTGAAGCACACTTATTATTTATTGATCACAAATAAATGTCGACAACTAAGTTAACTAATTAATACCTATCGTTAATATAAGCCTTTTTCTTCTTTAATTTAGATGTTTATCCGTTCTGATAATGATGATGTTAATATACGCTTCTGTTTTTTATTTGTCTTCATTTTCAATAAGATAAATCTTTTGTCTATTGCTATTTACCTATGATTTTATTGTATCAATTAAAAATAAAATACCGTTCACGTTATTCTGACAATATGGTAATGATACATATCAATTGAAAATAAAGTTCTATTGATAGAAGGCTTATATTTTGAAAATGCCCGCTACTCTTGATGACTACGTAGAAGAAAAAGCAGTTATAATTTGATACTTTATAAATATAAGAGTATAAATGAATACTTTTGAAAAATTGAAATAGGTTGATTACAAGCTACTCTCTCATCGAACAGCATTTATTAAACTATATCATATCGTTATGTGAGTTTTTCTCTTCTGTTTGTTTTTATCAAAAATAAATTCTTCCAATGTGGGAAGGACAATATACAGTTATTTGTATTATGATTTATTCTTGTTGTGAAACATGGAATAAAATGTCTTTGACAAACGAAACAGATTTTGTTAGTGACAACAGATATTATTACGTTGCCACTACCTATTTTAATTCTTATCGTTGGCTCTTTCTTTTCTCTTCTCTGTTGTAGTTCTTGTAATTTTCGTTTTTATGTTGTTTACATGGTTATGTCGTTATTTTCATGTTCTTCTCTTCTTATTTCTATTGTTTATTTTACTGTTAATGATATTAAGATTTCTTTTTTCCCATATAGATTAAGATTTGAGACAAAAATTTTAATTGAATTCAATCTTCTGTCTCATGAACATCAAAAAAAGAAAATTTGAGAGATAAAATGTATAATTATCAATTTCAGATTTCAAAATGTGGTATATACTACTGCTTTTAATTGCAACAGCTACTGCTTTTCCATCGGATTTTACTCCTAGTAGTACTACTACTATTGATTATTATGACACTCCTATTAGATATGCTTGCCTTCGGAACTATGAATGTAGTAATCTGATCGAAAATTCAATATGTCTTAACTATTTATGTACCTGTCAACCTGGATATGTTGCAGAAGGAATGATGAAATGCAAATATGTTGGAGGTACGAACAATCTTTCCTTTTGTTTATTGGTTATTTGTTATAAATTGAATGCCTCTATTATTTCTAGGTAAAGAAAATAATAATTAATCAAGAGTTAATGACATTACTAATGCAACAATTGATGGTATCAATTATTCTCCCTATTTCAATTAAAAATATTAAAAAAATTTAATAA